TCGAAGGAATATCTTTAGTTGTCGACGGACTGCCTGGGGAAGTGTAGCAAACATTTCGATGTTCCAGCCCTCAAATTCCTCCCGATAGGCATAGAGGAGATTATTGTCAAATTGTCATGGCGAGACATTCTGGAACCAGAGTCTAAGCAGAATGCCTGAGGATAAAATTCACGGAACAGGTTTTTCGGCTCACCCTCAACACTTGCACTTATATGGTGAGACTAGATAATGCGCCAACTGGAATTGACATGGTTGAGGTCACAGTTTGAGTCATGATGGGAAATTACAACAGTCTTAGTTGAATTACGTTAGATAGTTATTTGTACTTAAGGAAGCTGGAGCTACAACAAAGTAGTTCTCCAGCTTCACAATCTTATAATATAATTACAGTATTCCTCTCGCAAACCCGCTTCCTTCTAGCCATAATACTTCGTCGACTTCCCACCTCTCTAGTATTCACCACTTGACCTTTTCATACTCTCGGCGAACGGCGATCTCGATCTACCCTGTAGCACGCCGTAACACAAATTGTCTTTCGGCAACAGTGTTGGACATCATTTTAGCAACATAAGTAGCTAGATGATTAGGGTTGGATACTGGGGTGGGATCTATACCCCAGAATGGTAATTCAATGAAATCTATGTTGCCGGGGCCGAAATAAATTCCTTTCATGTATCTTGAAATAGTGGACTGTTTGATGGGTAGCAATTTTGAGGCATCTTGAGAGAAGAAACCTCTGTTAGAAACAGTATCATTAACCATATTATTTCGTCAATGTGAGAGGAATCTAAGGTGAGTATTGGTGAAATAAGTCAAGGGATCGACGTGATTGGACGCCTGCTTCTTTGTTGGTTCTGGGAAAGCGCTATATCTTTCAAAGTTCTTCGGAAGTTGTCTTTGTCATAAATCTACAACAGGTTGATATTGAGTCAACAGTACTGTAAATTGCGATGTTGTAGCACAATGGTAGTACAGGGGTCAGAGTTGATGACTTGTAGTATTGCTGTCTCATCTATCTTCCACGTCAAAGGTTGTGTTGCCAACAACCATTGATCAATGTTGGATAGGCTGTGCCTCGGTATCTGATCAGATAACAATGTACGTTGGGATAAAGATGTTCTTGTTTAAACTTCAATAGTGATAAATCTATGATAAACTTACACGAGGCTGACTATTCAGCCTTGTACCCTTAAATTGAGCAAAGAACTCATCACAATGTTACTTCCACACAAAATACTAAAACTACTAAATTGTCAAAGAGTAACCCGTGTAATGACAAACAACTGTTGTGCTGGTGATGCCTAGGATTACAATGCACAAGGGTCATGATCACTGAGGGTGAAGGAAGAACTTTCCAGGTGGCTCCATGATGAGTAGAGGAACAATGGAGCACTGTATAGAAGGTGTCTCTAGATTGTACTGCCAGATGGAGGAGACTAGAATATTCCGTGGTACTGTTTTGGGTAAATAAGGTGAGAGTCTAGCTATCTCAGATATGTATATAATTAGCGCTTTCTACCTCCTAAATCCTCATGGGTCTGAATATCAAATATATTGGCAGTTCATATTGATCCATCAATAATCATCCATAAACCTTCTGCCAATTAACCTCCGTAAGCTCTTACCTTTACAACAATAGACTACCCTTTGTTGGATCATATGACTTATGTATACTTGTTTTTTTTTTTTTTTTTTTACTTCTGGTCCTAAGCTAAAGCTCTTTATCCACATTGGCTCAATGACCGGCGGATCCGGCAGGGCTCCCTATAATCTTTCCTACAGCCTTGCTCGTTCCAACCTCGTGAATCGCTACCAAAAGTGCAGCTGATTAAACTGAAACGAAAAATCAAGAAAATCAAAACTCCGAAAACCAGAAGATTACTCCATATTGGACCCAAGCAATGCGGTCCTCACACATTCCGTTGTCTGTCACACCTTCCAAATGACAAATTTGCCTCTTCTCTGCTGAGAGCGAAAAATGGGTTAGCAGGCACCTTTGATCCAGCTGGTTTCCTGCTAATGGTTAGTAGATGCCCCAAAAGGGACATTGTCGAGGTTGCTGTGTCCTCAAAATTCTTCTTCAGCTTCCAGAGCTCCGAAACCTTTAGCCTCGGCCATTGAGACGTCCTTTGCAGTGGCGATGATCGCCTCTTCGGCCTTTTTTGCTGCTGCTCGTGCTCGTGCCACCTTTGAGAACTCCCCTTGTTCTATGTGACGGATCCACGCGAGCTGCTCTTTGGTCACCGGTCCCCCACAGTTACGACACTTAGTGAGGGCCTTGCACTCGGCTTCCGAGTGCATGTTAGATCCGCAGTTCCAGCAGGCCGGAGCGCGGGAGCAACCACCGGTGGCGTGGAAGCCCAAACAGCGTTTGCACTGTTCGATTTGTGGACGAGGCTTGTGAATGGTAGCCATGCCAGCCTCGTCGAGAATCCGGAAGCCCGGGCGAGGGGCGTTGTCCCGGGTGAAAAGGGCTTCCCAATTTCTGTACGGCGCTCCAGGACGGCATGTTCCGTGCGGTAGCACCTGGTGTGGAAGCTTTTGTGTTTTTCGGTAGATCTCCATTGAGATCCACTCAGCATCAACTGTATGAATACAGTTGATTGTTTTTACGGTCGCCGGAACATTTGCGATCCGAAAGGCAGCAAGGTTGGAGGCTTCCTCGAGCTTGGCGTCGAAGTCCGAAAACTTTGGTGCGGCATCTAGGAGCTCTTCCCTTTTATTTTCATTCCCTGTCAGAATCGCAAATCCGGTTCTAACACGGTGTATAGAGCAGGCGTTACTCCAGAAGCAATATAGCTCACTCTGTTGTTGTTGCCGTAGGCCAGCAGGCGAAAGCTGGCGCCACGGGTGCTCCTTTTCTAGGCGAAGGAATAGTCATTTGTCGACTTTCGCCTTCCGGGCATCTTTCTTTTAGGCCTTTGACGCAGGTTTCGGCACAGCCTTTACAGTTGGGACTGCTTTCTGTCGCAGTCCGTTTCTGGCCACCGTAGCCCAGGTGCGTTTTACAGGCAACACTGGGACGGCGGGAATTCGTATGCATCCTGGCGTCGGGAGCCCTTGGGGGAGGGTTTGCCGGGCGAGGAGGGAGGTCGGGTGGCGTAGTGGCCGGGCCCGTGGCCATGTATTGCGCAATGGCGGCGCGTAGGTAGACTCTCATCGAGTCTACAAATTGTCTGTTTGACCCGTTGGTCAAAGGGAGGAGGGTGGCTTCGACGCCAGAGATGGCGGCGGAGCAGAGGGTCAGATTTGCCGCTATTTCGGCGGCGCGTCGTTGTTCAGCTTCGACTATTGGTCAGAGCTCGAGGGGACACTCTGCTTTCGTGGCAGCTTTAAGCTGCGACGTTGATGTTGATGCTGCTTTGGGTGCAGCATTTTCCGACGGTTTTGAGGTGGTCGGAGGTGGTTTGGATTATTCTCCAATCCCGTGGGGGACGGAGGTTGGTTGAGGAATTTCCTCAACAATTTCGACTGACCCGATCATGTCAGTATCGGGTTTAGTGACGGCGGGGAGGGCTTTTTCCTTCCCTTTGATGGAGACCTTGATCATCTCCGCGCATTTCGGAGACTAGACAAGGCCAGGTAATTGTTCGAGAGCCCTCGGGTGGACCCTCGTGTTAACCAACTTTGCGTTGGGACGCTTTTTGCGAACTGGAGGCATGGTAAAAATACCCGAGCTCGATCACAATTCAGAGATGGATGCGACGAGTTCGAGAAGGGAGGAAAGAGGGAGAAAATGAATTTTCGAATTTTCGAATTTCTCGAAATGTGCGTTATTTGTTCATTAACGTGCTAGGTGAAGTAACTACTGTCGCACTCCTACTGGAGCTTGAGCACGAGTGGGGTCGGGCCGGATCAGGTTAACTACCGTGCAGTACAAATGCCTCGTCCCACCTAAATGACCGGAACCATGCCAAAATGCATCTATGTGTTGAACCATGACAAATTAAGCAGCCCAGAAACTTATATATACTTGAACGAGGCTGGGCCTGAAGGATAGCCCAGTCTAACCGAACTTTGCACAGAGCGTAACACATTGATCGGACAACATCCCAGAGCACTATGACAACTTTAAGTGAACTGATATACTTTAAGGATATTACAAAGGTCATAACAACATATATTCTGGTAGATTCTTCTTCATTGTCAGATTTCTCGAGCTTGGAACCTATCAACGGGGATGACGCTCCACCTCACATCAAGGCAGCTTTATTTGGCACCAACCCATCACCTCTCTGTTCGGAAGACAAGGAGCCTGTAATTTTCCATCAGAAGTATCTCATTTCTTGTAGGATTGGCTGATCACGCGCTGCTGATGTTATTTGCACAGTTCAAAATTTTGTGATGATACCTCAATATACACCAGCTTCAGCAGGGAGAACTCCCCTAGCGTAAAAAATCATTCGACTTGAGACTATTAAATTGGTCATTTTAATAAAAATCAATAAAATTGGGCGGTAGGTGTCTTTTTGGGATGCGAACTCTTCTGTATATCGCCTTGGAACATTATTTACAGTTGAGGATACAGCTAGAATTCCGCTCTCCACCTTAAGCGAAGTCAGTGACCACAAAGGCCGACCGATTTGACGCCCGATGTTGGCCAGTAAACTTGAATCTTGCATTCAGTTCTAGTGAACGATTATCTCAACCTCAACTTACTCGTGAGACTCCATAATGATCATGTATTCCCATTTCCACCATTACGTTCACTATATTACTCCTAAAGCAGTTTTGAGTCGAAATTTCTGCCAAGATGACCATGGAGTGGACAAAAGAAATAAGATGAAAAATAATGGTCCTCACTCCATATTTGGGATCAGGTTTAATATGTAGCTGACGGCGAAGATCGATCACGGTCCATATTGGATTCAATCAGCTGCCCCCACCACACAAGTGAAGGAGAGATGTTCTGCACCAAGTAGAAACAAAATACTATTTATTTGTTCTTATTTGCCTCACACATCAATCTCGCTCGTCTATAAACCCTCAATCTCATCAAAATGTCGCCACGGAAATACTTGGTTCTCGTCGCTCTCGGCCTCTTCCACACAGTCAATGGCAACTGGTCAATATACCGCGGGGCAAATTGTTTGGGTGATCAATACTTCCACAATAATCTAATAAATATTATTGGTCATTACTGCGATTGGGATCGAAATAATCAATGGAAACTGAAGTCTAAAGAGCATCCAAAGTCATTTGCGCATGATAGGTCAGGATCCTTACTATATTTCATAAATCTGCCTCGAAACGACCCTTATTCCGTAATATTTTATGGTAAGCTACTCACAAATCGAGCTATCTGTTATTTCAGTCATTGGAAAGCTAAACTATCTCAGGAGAACGAACTCTTCACTACATAGCACTCAATGAGGACTGTGAATTCCACTTCGCTTCAACATTCAGCGAGTATCCTAGTACAGATGAACAGCTTATTTTGGATGATTTATTTATGTGTGAACCAATATCTTGATCTCTTGTATGATGTTACTGGCAGCCTCTCGATCATTGATGATATTTGGTTTTACGAGCTGACATGATTTTGATACTATTCGTATCAGGCATACACCAATGAGGCGCAATACCGATATGCAATTTCGACAAACTCACTACTACATACGTGCATGGCTTTATTTTCCATAAAAACTGTAAAAATAGAAAGTTAAGGAAAGATAATACAGTGTGTCCGAACGTGATGCCCTGCGCCATGTCCAATTTTCCCAGCAATTTAGTAAAAATAAAGACCGGTTCTTTTTAGGGAGCCCATGCAACCCGGCCTAAGATTTTACTACTGTAGAATTTTGTTACAGTAATGAATTCGAGGAATTTCTCTCATCCTATTTTCTTCAACATATAACTTGTCCATTGGGGGGTGGGGTGTGATGGGCGATCAACAAAACAAAATAGTACAGGAATGGTGGCCGATTACTGTCTATTTTCTACATACATCTCGAAACTGTCCACCGAGGGGAGGCTACTTAAGGTGTCCCAACTCCCAATACGCTAACCTCACTATCTGTTCTACTACACCATATCCTTGATATTCCGAGTGGGCTCGTCATAGCGAATCTGGGTCGTATCGGCCCATGATTCCACATGAGACTTGCTGCAACAATAACTTGTTTCCATATTTGTTGCAACCCTGTATTTGTATGGCCAAGTTGGTACCTGACATAATTTGTGATTGCCTCAGGTAAACCTTGGCGTTTTGGGTAATTTTCAGCTAGAAAATACTTGGCGTCCGTGTAACAGACGTGGTGGACTGGTACTAAGTCGGTTTAGGATTACATCTTGGCTACAACATGTTTGGATTGTATCCTGTGATGTAAGGAAGCTATTTCTAGATATTATCATCTTATGTCAGGTAGTAGATATGTGTAGATATATAAGCTGAGAGAAAGATGAAGACAGAGAGATAGACAATTACATCTTTTTATTTCACTTCAATTAAAAGCTCCTGTGCGAGCTATTCTTCCAGATACCTCTAGTCTCAATCATTACAGCTTCCGAACTAGCTCAAAAGGTTCGACATCTCCAGTCATCCGAAACAACTCTAGCCATCCTTCCTTTTGGATCCACTATGCAATTCTAGTCGTATCCTTGGCCTTATTTACTATAGCTTCGAGGGATCGGGTTGTCGATTTCTGTAACAACTCGCCTCTTCCCCTTGCCCATCTTGGAAAAGACATCACCTTTAACAGGCGGTAGCCTAGTATGTGGATCCGGAACTATCCGGCTCCGGCTATAAACAAAAGCGCGCTAGTGACTCGGGAAAACGCGCTCGATTGGAACAAGACATCTTGCGCGCGCGTCATAGGTATCCTCCTCCTCAAATAAAATATAAATTCATTTTCGGACCCTTAATTGTGAACAACAAATGTGAAGTCCCTTCTTATCACCAAATGCTTTATGTTTTGGGACAGATATCCACATTGGAAACACGGTTTTCCTACTCCTGCTTCATTCCTTCTGTATAAGCAAGCATGGGGCCCAATGTGCTTGCTTCTTGTGTGGCAATGCTGCTCTAGGTCCTGCTAAGGTTATGGTGGATTTGGATAGGTGAGTCTCTGGAATTCATCGAAGTTCTACCTGTTTTCTTATCATTTTACAAACTCGCAGCTTTCTGAATAAAATGGTAGGAATGGGAATTGCGTGCGAAGGAAAAAAGGGAATTGATTCTGAAATGTGTGGCTTGATGTCATGGAACAGGACGTTCATATTCATCACGTGATATGTAACCTAACACGTGCCTCTTAATGTACACAACTTGTCAGAGTCCAGCGATAGTATTTTCTTCCCTTGGTAGACAATCTAACTCGCCAGATCCGACATTGTCGATCTAGCATTTATCCTACATTGTGACACTTGATTGGTTTTATTTTCAAATTTCTTTTGTAAGGCACAAAGTACTCCCTTGGGAACCAGTAATAGAGTGAGGGAGTGATGTTGATTGTACTATTTGAGCCTATGACTATCTAGCACATCGGGCTCCTTTCTGACCCAGGCCACACCTTGTTCAGAGCTCTTTGCCTCTTTTGCTACTTGTAAGATCATTGATATATTACCCGTGATGAATAGCCATTCAGCTCAGTGCTTACCCGTGGAATTCGGCCACCTTTTCCACGGAACCTTCTACCCAAAAAAAATAAAAATGGTAACAATGGAAACTGCGTTCGCGGGAAAAAGTCTCAAAAAACCTGCAGCCGCAGCCAGGCGAGACCTAGACACCGGGACCACATGAGGTGTGCATATTCATCTATACCTCCCTTCTTTGTAACAGTCGAGGCCGACTTGATCCAATCCACAATCTCTGTATCGGGTGCTGGCTACGCTCCGGAAACTCATCGGATGGCATCTCCACCATGATCAAGGGTTGGTGATCAGAATACCTCCAACCCTAATGACTAATCTAATCATGGGTAGCGTTGTTTCTCAATCTTAGAGCGACGGCTACTATAGGTTTTGTTTTGGGCGAATTTACAAATAGATCATATTAAGATTACTTACACCGACTGCCAGGGGACTATTCTCAACACCTGTCAGTGGTGTCCCCTACGAACCTCCAGCTCTCACTGTAGAGTCTGTAGAGTCTGCAGAGCCGAGATTGAGTAACAAAGTCCTCACTTCGAAGAGGATTCCCAATCGCTTTCGCAGTCTGTATCGTCTTCACCTCTCAACACATTCCCCTATCACCATTATCATGAAGCTAACCACGATCAGACCAGATGGTAGGGTCGGAGCCCTTCTCATCACTAACCCTTGATCATGGAGGAAAAGCCATCCGATGAGTTTCCGGAGCGTACCCAGCACCCGATACGGAGATGGTGGATTGGATCAAGTCGGCCTCGACTGTTACAAAGAAGGGAGACATAGATGAATATGCGCACCTCATGTGGTCCCAGTGTCTAGGCCTCGCCTGGCTGCGGCTGCAGGTTTTTTGGGACTTTTTCCCGCGCACGCAGTTTCCATTGCTACCATTTTTACTTTTTTTGGGTAGAAGGTTCCGTGGAAAAGGTGGCTGAATTCCACGGGTAAGCACTGAGCTGAATGGCTATTCATCAAGGGGAATATATCAATGATCTTTCAAGTAACAAAAGAGGATAGGAGCACTGTACAAGGTGTGGCCTGGGTCAGAGAGGAGCCCAATGTGTTAGATAGTCATAGACTCAAGTAGCACAATAAAAACACACACACACACCGACTGCCTCTATCCCAGGACTGCAATCTAAAGGAACTCTACACAGAATAAGTTTTCCACCTCAGCTCTGACTACCTTTCCTTCTGTAACTAATAAATGACTGATTCAAAGCTCCTCCCTGATTAGTTTCAGGGCGAAGTTTACTCCAATCATGATTGGGCTACTATAAGCGACAGTATTCCTACAGTTACCTTCATGATCAATGTGATAGGGGTATGTGCTTAGGGACGACGACAATACAGACTGCAAAAGCGATTGTGAATCCTCATCGAAGTGAGGACTTTGTTACTCAATCTCGGCTCTGCAGACTCTACAGTGTGAGCTGAAGGTTTGTAGGGGAGACCACTGACAGGTGTGTTAAGAATAAGCCCCGAGATTGGATAGTGGCTAGAAGTATATTATTGTGGTTATGAGCTTAGTTTAGTGTCACTATGCATGCTGACCTTGTACGAGTATGTAGATTGATGAGTTCAGGTTGTGGTTGAAGGTGTATCTGAGGTTCACTGTATTTTAATTGTACTATCCTAATTGTGTGCCGATGTCACGGTTCGAGGTATAGATGCTGGGGCGATCAAATATACGAAGGTTGTTTATTATTTTCTCTATGGCTATCTATGTACGTCCAACTTCAACTATTTATTCGCTTACTATTCTATCTAGAATATTCTTGACTAATACCAGTTTCTAGTATTTTCCCCTGAGGCTGGTTCGCAGTCTTACTACTAGTTGCTAGAAATTTCTAGTGATGTCCAGATTAATCTATGATAGAATAGTGGTTTCGTAAAGTTGTGAAGCACGTGATTAACATCATGTGCCACAGGGTAATTACCGGCTCACTAGCCGTTACAATTCCCCTCCTCCTCCATGCATTACGTAAATGCGTGTAGCTGATTTTAGTTTGAAAGAAACACTCCAAAGTTGTGGCCCAGATAATTTTGTTAGATTTTTTTTTTTTTTTTTTTTTTTTTTTCATTTTGCTTTATCCCCGTGGCTGCGGAATCTGTTACTCCGGTTCCGACGTCTTCGAAGGGTCCCTGGTTCGGCTGGTCCAACAAACGCTCCGACACTATCTTCTGGCGGACCGTCATTTGTCGCAATCGGTCCATATTTTGCTTCGAAATCATCAAGGGCTTTGGCTTCCTCGATAAATTCCACCGGCTCCCATGTCGGATTTGCTTCGCTTACCCACTTTACTAGTGCTTGTCGATATTTTCCACGGCCACGACGAACAGTTCTCGCACGTAGAATTGACTCCACCTCGTATTCGGGCTGCTCCAAGTCATCTATTATGGGGGGGTTTTGAGCATCATCTCTAAATTGACTTGGAAATGGATCTGAGCCGGCTCGCTTTACTAATTCCACATGGAATCGTTTATGGATATTTCCCGGCACGTTTAGCTCAACTGTAAGTGCATCAGGGACAGCAGTCACTTCATATTTTGCATGTTGCCATGCTAACTTCTTCGATAGTTGGGGAGTTTTTATATGACGTAGATCCAACCAGACCTTATCTCCAACTCGGAATTTTTCGGGCTGTCGGCGTATTAAGTTTCCATTGGCTTCATAACGTTGCTGCGCAGACGCCATTGCTGCTTGAGCAAAATCTTGGGCGTCCTTTAGTCTTTGTACAAATTTCATTGCTGAGAGCCGACCCGGATGTCTCGACTTTTCACAGGTAGTCGGCGTTGGTTGTGTTACAGGGTCTAAGTCGTAACCATGCTTTAAGAAAAAGGGGCTCATTCCTTCAAGTGATGAATTTGGGCGGGCATTGAGTG